TATTTTGAATGATAGTTTTGCTGGGTAGAGTATCCTGGGGTTGAAGTTATTTATTCTTCTGCCGGAAATCTCACCCCACGCTCTTCTTGCTTTTAATGTTTCTGTTGAGAAGTCTGCTGTGATTTGATGGGTTACCTTTGTATGTGTTGTTTCTCTCTTACAGCCTTCAATATTCTTTCCTTAGTTTCTGAACTTGTTGTTTTAATGATGATATGTGTGGGTAGTTCTTTTTGATCTGGTCTGTTTTGGTGTCCTGGAGGCCTCTTGCATCTGTATGGGAAATCTTTCTCTAGATTTGGGAAATTTTCCTTATTATTTTGTTGAAATATATTACATTCCCTTCGCTTGCACCTCTTCTCTTCTTCGATGCCCATGATTCTCAAGTTTTCTCTTTTGATGAGTGGTAGTTCTTCATTTTCTTTTCACAGGTCTTGAGTTGTTTAATTAATAGTTCTTTGGTTTTCCTTTAATTACCATTTCATCTTAGTTCTGAGATTCTGTCTTCTGTTTGTTCTATTCTGCTGGATTGGCCTTCCGTTTTGTTTGCAGTTCTGTTTCGTTCTTTTTTCTGAGGTTTTCCCATGTCCTGGTCAGTTTTTTCCTTCTAATTGTCTATTTTTGTCCTGGTTCATTATCGCGAATGCCCATGATTCTCAGTTTGGTCTTTTGATGGAGTCGTGAGTTCTTGCATTTTCTTTTCACAGGTCTTGAGTTGTTTAATTAATAGTTCTTTGGTTTTTCCTTTAATTACCATTTCATCTTTGAGTTCTGAGATTCTGTCTTCTGTTTGTTCTATTCTGCTGGATTGGCCTTCCGTTTTGTTTTGCAATTCTGTTTCGTTCTTTTTTCTGAGGTTTTCCATGTCCTGGGTCATTTCCTCTCTAATTGTCTATTTTTGTCCTGAGTTCATTTATCTCTTTATTAATTGTGTTCTCTAAGTATCTTCTGTAATGTTTGTGGTCATAAATTCTTTCTGTTTTTGTTTATCATGTGAGGTTTTTATTTCTCCTTCAATTATGAAGGATAGCTTTGCTGGATACATTAATCTAAGTAGGGAGTTACTTGTTCTCAGGGCTTTGGAATATATCATTCCATGCCCTCCTTGCTTTTAGCATTTCTGTTGAGAAATCTGCTGTTGTTCTGATGGGCTTGCCTTTATATGTGATTTACCGCTTCTCTCTTGCAGCTTTCGACATTCTTTCTTTGTTTTGTATATTTACTGTTTTAACTATAATATGTATGGTAGTGTTTCTTTTTTGATGTTGCTTGTTTAGAGTTCCGAAAGCCTCTTGTAACTCAGTGATCCTCTCTTTCTTAAGATTGGGGAAGTTTCTGCTGTTATTTTATTGAATGAATTATCTATGTGTTTAGATTTTTACTTCTTCTCTTCTCTTTCTTATATAAGGTTTGGTCTCTTGATGGTGTCCCAGAGGTCTTACATATTCTGTTCATACAAAAAATATTAGTATTTTTTGTCTTTGTAATTACTCTACTTTCAGTCAGTGATACTTTATTTTTAACTTGTTCCATTCTGTTAGCAAGACTTTGAACTGAATTTTTAATTGGGTTATTTCATTTCTAAGATTTTGATTTTTTGAGGATTTCTGTATATTCATTGAATTTTTTAATACTCTGCATTGTCTTCCTTATATCATTCAGCTGTGTTTTTTAAAATTCTCTTTGAGTTTAATCAGCTGTTTATTTGTATCCTCTTTGAATTCTTTCAGGTGCTTATACATGTCCTCTTTAATTTCTTTGATCATTCTTATTCTTTTGAGTTCATTGTTTAAAATTTCATCCACTTGCCACTCAAGTCCTGTTTTGTTTTTTGGTGGGCCTGGGGTTTGAACTCAAGGCTTCATGCTTGCAAAGCAGGCATTCTACCACTGAGCCACACCTCCAGTCCATTTTTTGCTGGTTATTTTGGAGATAGGGTCTCATGAACTGTTTGCCTCTGCTGGTATGAACAGTGATCCACCAGATCTCAGCCTCCTAAGTAGATAGGATTACAGGCATGAGCCATTGCACCTATGGGACTGGGGTTTGAACTCAAGGGCTTCATGATTGCAAAGCAAGCTCTCTACTGCTTATTCATTTTTGTGGAGTTCTTAGCTTATGGAAGAGATGTGTTGCCTTGTTTTTCCATTTAACTTGTGTTTCTACCCTGGGATTTATCATTTGAGTCGGAGTTTTTGGTTGGAGGTTTTTAATCTCCTATGTCCTTTCAGTTGGCGTTTTCATGATGTTTCAGTAAGACTATAGTGGCTGGGTTGTGGATGGTGTATACAGTACTGGGGTTTAAACTCAGGGCCTACATGCTTGGTATGCCACTTGAGTCACTCTGCCAGCCTGTTTTGTGTTGAGTATTTTTGAGATAAGGTCTCATGAACTATTTGCCTGGACTGGCTTTGAATCATGATCCTCCTGATCTCTGCCTCCTAAGTATTTAGCATTATAAGAGTGAGCCACCAGTACCCAACTGTGATGTACCTTCTTGTTACTAGACTTGGAGGAGGGTGTCACTCAGTAGTCATAATACACACACACACACACACACACACACACACACACACACACACAGGCAATGTTGTAGACACTGAGTTCAGCTCCTTCCTCCAGTTGGAGAACTTAGCTGCAGAAGCTATCAGCCACCGTAAGATTACAGCAATCCCTAATAAAGACCAGTCACATCCATTTGCTCCAATATCTTTTGAGAAGTAGAGGAGCAAAGATCTAGAAAGACCTTAGTTAATAAAGGTAGTGATAGGAAAGAGAGATAGGGAAGATAATACTAATGAGTAATTCAAGGTGTATGGTGGTATAAGGCTGGAAAGGATGATAGTTAAGATTAATAGACTGGAGTAATAAGAAAGGTGAATGAAAAAGGTAAAAGGATTTAGTTAATGGTTTATTGAAGAAAGGAGAAAGAGAAAAGAAAAATTAAAACAATCTTAACTATCTAAAAGTATAGAATGGGTAGAAGAAAATGTAAGTGAAAGGGGTATTCTAATAATAGCTGGAAGGAAAGTATAAATGGGGGAACAATAGGAAAGGGAAGGAGAGCATATGATTTAAGATTGAATATTGGAAGATGGGTGATATAGCTTGTATGTAATGACTGTAAAGAAAAAGAAGGGAAAAAAAGCAGAACTAAAAGAAAGTGAGAGAGAACAACAAAAATACCCAAATCAAATATACAAAAAAGAAAACAGATAAACAGAAGAGTCAGAATTTTCAACTGCTTTCCAAAGCAGCTGAGTTTTTTCCTCTCAAATTCTGATTTAGTTTAGTTTTTTCCTGTTCCATTTTAGATATTTTTTACTGCTTTATATGCATGTTCTATTGCTTCTACAATAAATTACCAAAAATTTAGTGGCTTAAAATAACAAAGACTTAGTTCTTACCATTCTGCAATTTCAGCAATCCAATATGGACTTCACTGAGGTCAGTGATAAGAGTATTTGCCTAGCATGCATAAGGTCCACAGCACTACACACACATACAAAATCACTTGAAGTGCTTACTTAAAATGCAGTTTATAATCTATCCCCTCCAGAAATTCTGTGTCAGTAGTCCTGGCCAGGGACTTGGTATTGTCATTTTAATAAGCACAAGGTGATTCTGAAGTATGTGTCTAGAAAACTACACTTTGAGAAACACGCTTCAACATGTTACAGACAAAAAGCAAAGACTTAAAATTTCTCTAGTGCCTATTCCCCAGGCTATATCTTTCTACTATATCAGGAACCTTCTCATCCTCAGTTTTCCTTACTTTTACCTTAACCTCAGCTAAACTTTGGGTGAGGCTTGGCCTACCATCTCCCTCTGAGATCATATTGTGAAATAATCTCAAACTGTTCTTAAAATTTCTAGTCTAATATACATGAATTTAACATTAGGGCACTAACCAGATTCTAATAGACCCATTGTTTGCTAAATACTGGGACCAAGTTACCCAGATTTTTGGTTCAAATTCTACAAATGGAGCAGGATTTGAGAGCAGATCATAGAAGAACACATGTCTCATAATGTAGCCAGGTCTCTCAAGGACTCATCTTAGGTAAAGAGACTTATCCTTAGGCAGCTGAACTTCTAAATTAGATCAATGAATTGATCTAATTCTCTTCTCTTCTAATTCTCTTCTCTCAGTTGTAGAGAAGAGGCCATATAGCATTGAGACCTTCATAGGGGCACTCTGGGAAGCCCTTTGTGGCTCATACTGGCACCAAATCTAAACACTCTTTCACTGACCTTCTTGTCTTACTGCTGTTGGGCAAGCAGGTAGATTTCCCTTTCTGTCAAGTCTCAGGGGAATCACTGCAGTGCTAGTAACTTTTTCTAGGGCATCACTAGTGAGAGTGTGTAGGGCCTTGTAGAGGTACTTACTACTAAATGCCATGTTACTATTCTCCAAAAATTGTGGATTTCCTTACCTACAAATGAATGTACTGAGGCATACCAACTGTTTCTGTACATGATTGTGAAGGATCTTTGTTCATATATTAAAGGATCTTAAAATATGATTGAGATTCTTTTTCTATAATAGATAGGAATTGTTATAATAGAAGGATAGGTTTATTGTTGATAATGCAGTATTTGAAAAGAGGATTAATTGGGCAAGTAAATTTCCTCCTAAGTTTTGTAGACTAACCATAAACTAGAATGATAAAGTGCTAGCACTAACCATAAACTAGAATGATAAAGTGCTAGCCCTAGATGGGCCCTCAAGGGTCTTTAGACATAGTCTCCTAATGAAAGGTACAAATAAGGAAATTTAATTTCAGAAAAGGTAGATAGTTTATCAGGTCATACAACTATTTGGCAGTTATTCCGTGAATACAATAACCTAATTTTTCTGCAATTTTCATCCCACTAAATTATGAGTCTGATAGAGTAGGAGTTATTGACAGATTATATTACTTTAGATTACCAGTAGCCACAGACCAATGAAATCTTTACTATGGTAGATTATGTCTAAAGCTTTATCTTTTGTGTTGCAGGACTGAAAGCTGAAAATTGTGTCGAGAACCTAGGTAAGATATGCTTTAAATGATTTATATCTCTGTAATGGGAATTTTATCAGTGTTACTTCTCTTGAGTCAGAGCCACCCCACCATTGTACTGGCATACCGTCAGCCATCATTTTTTCAAGGCTAAATTTTGTTCTTGTTCCTATACCCAAGTCCACCTCCTTGCTGCTTGAAAGTAATACTCAGGAGATGAGAGTTGGTGGGGAAAAAATTAGTTTTATTCAAAAGCCACACCGTGACAAATTGGGAAGAGCTATTGTCTCAGAGTCCTATTTGAGAGAACTCAGGTATGTGAAGGAGTTTTTAATGAGGAGGAAAAGAAAGTAGTGGAAGGCTGTGTGGTGAGTCACACATCTGTGTTTAATAACCATCTCTGTCAGGGAGTGTTTTTTTCTTTTCTGCTGGAATATCCTTGAGATAACAGCAGATTTTAGTTTCCTATGCCAGTCCCTATAATTCCTTAGAAAATACATTATTTGTTTGCAATTTGCAAAGTTGCCTAATCTATAGTAGGGTGGCATAAGACATGGTAGCATAGCTATTATCGCTGTTACTCTATCGTTACTGTTTTCAGGAAGAGAGCTCTGTCTGTCATAAACTCCCCACTCCAACCCCACCCTTGCCTGTCTTTTCTCTCAAATACTGCATTGTCTTATGCATGAAAGGAACCTGCCATTCTTACCCCAGCCTGTCATTACAGGAACTTAAGGATTCCTGAATGCCTTGTATCACTAGATATTTTCCTTGTGGCTTGTATGCAGAGAGATAGACTCCCATTCCTGTATTTTGATAGCTCATGAGATAACATTTGGATGACTATTGAAAGAATGGAGTAACTGTGGCTCAAAGGAGAAGGATGGACTGACAGAACAATCATGTGATCTTGTTATCAGAAATTCAAAAATAATAACAGGGTTTTGAGGAAAAGGAAATAAGGTTTATTATTTGTCAGATGAAGAGGACAAGGAGTGTCAACGTCTGAAAGCCCTGTTTTCCCACTTCTGAGAGAAAATGTCCACTTTTTAAAGGGGAAGGTCAGGGAGTCAGTTTGAATACAAGGTAAAACTCATATCCCACAATAGGTGCCAGCCTTGGTTCTGCCAGTTCTCCCAGTGTTTCTACCCACATTCTCAAAGCTGTATGTCTTGGTTGACAGGTTTACTTCTTCTTGGTGGCCAGAGAGAGATAAGGAGGAGAAAACTGCCTGGTTTAATTGAAGAGTAAAGAGTGTTAACCTTGGTCTCTCCAGCATGGGGAGATTGTGGCCAGGGTGGGGGGTGGGAGGGTGAGAATTGAGAGACAGACACACACAAAGGGGAAAAATATCAGTTTGAATAACAAGCAGATTAAACTGGCCAACATGCAAACTGGCTACACCGAAGATTTTTTTCCTTTTTTTTTTTTGGTGGGACTGGGGATTGAACTCAGGGCTTCACACTTGCAAAGCAGGCACTTTACCACTTGAGCCACTCCTCCAGTCCATTTTGTTCTGGTTATTTTGGAGATGGGGGTCTCTCAAACTATTTGCATGGGCTGACCTTAAACCATGATCCTCTGGATCTCAGCCTTCCAAATAGTTCGGATTACAAGTGTGAGTCACTGGTGCCTGGCAGTTTTTTCCCTTTTGTAGTCCCAGTTACAATCTGTTTCAGCTTCCTCAGGGGGAAAAAAAAAAAAAAAAGAGACTGTAACAAAAAACTAACATTCAGAAGGAGACCATGGAAAAGATTTGGGAAGGTAAACAGTATATTCTTGAGAGTATCTAGGAATTGCATTATAAGATTTGAACCAAAGTTGCCAAAAAATGCCTTGGACTAGTTCAGGCTCTCCAAGGATTCTTTTGAAGATTTCCTTATTAAAAAATTTGAAAACAAGGATCCATTTTTAGCTGTTTCCCTGGCTAGCTTTTCTGTGAATTCTTTTTCGTGTGAAAATGAATTTACATCCACTTATCTTTGAATTCGAATTTTATATTTCTTAAATATAAGCCAACTCAAATCTTTATTATGAGGAAACATTAAAAATAGACTGAATATGACATCATATCTAAGCATACAGCATGTAATGAAACATATTTGTATTTCAGAATATATTCAGCCCATCTATGTCTATCACTCTGGTGAGTATACTCTTATTTTTAAAAAAAATAATCCTTACAAGAATATTTAATATCTTTCCTATTTAGCAAATGCATTTATTAGCAGGTCTAAAGTAGTAATTTTGAAAATATGAAGGGGGAAAACAGAACCTTGCTGGGCAAATTTACCTCCTTCCAGTGAGAGAATTGGGTTTGAGGAGATCTCAGCAATATGGAAACTTTCTGGGGAATGAGAGTGGTGGGACCTGAAGAGCTAGTCATACATGACCAGGTCTGTGAAGTACAGATCTACATTTAGTTAAGATTGTTTATGTGGCATCAACATTAAAATGTAAATGGAAAACTCAACATGTTGACAGCTCTCAAATACACTCATGTTTGATATGTCTGCTGAGCATAAAACACCAACCTAGTTGAGAACAAAGAAAATTGCATTTATTTGGAATTACTTAGGGTTGGTATTTGGGAAAACACAGATTTCAAGCAATCTTGAAAATGCTCCAAGGTTTTACAAAATGGCAGCTGCATTTTTAGCTTAAACTATAAAAAACTTGAAAATTAGATCACTTGTTAGTCAGAAATTATCAGTGTGGGTAAAAGTTAAGCCACTTTGTAAGAAAGGGAAAGAGTGCAGTTGTATTCTTCTGGGAAGTCTGGGAGAAGGAGGTCCATTGTACAGAAGGTCATCAGAGATTAACAGTGTTTCAAGGGTCAGCTCCAATCTAGGAGTACAGGTCTGCAGCCCATGTGGGACCTGATTAATAATGACTTTCTGGCTCTATTTCAAATGCCCCAAATCAAGGCTACTCCGTTTTCTTGAAAGGTACCATTTGACTAAAATATCTGGGTGACTACATTTTTTTTTTCTGTTTCCACTTATGGAGATATAACTAAATCAATTCTTTGCATTTAAGTTCCTTACTATGCATTAGGCCCATGTGGCCTTAAGTTTTTCTTTATTGAAGAGAGAAAAAAATTCACCATTTCCAAAACCACAGTTTACTTCACGTTCAGGAGGATGCTTTCTGTCCTGGTAGAAGCCTTTCATACACCCGAGGACATGCTTCGCAAACTACCTAATTCTTACTGGCCCATTGCAGTCACACATTCTAATCACTTCATAGGGACCTCAGCTAACAATTCAAAACAGACATTTTTTTTTCTGCCTCCTTGACACTCCTAGGACACTAGCTATATATAATGGTTTACCTTATTAGAAAGGGCCAAAAGAGAGTTCCAGCTCATTAGCCAAGGAACATTTAGACTCTAGTTGACAGTTAAATGCAACAGCAGCAGTTTCTGGGCACACTAAGTGGTACTTAATGGCTACATTACCCTGAAAATAGTTTTGCTTTAGCAATAGTTAAGTCTCAATTCTTTTGATCCATTGCTAAAACTAATGGGGTTTTGTTTGTTTGTAATACAGGTGAGGAAAACCAGAAGCTTGAAGATGCTGGTATGACATTATCAAAAACTCGGGGGGTTTACATTTTGCAACAGAGCTCCTTTTATAGGTAGGAGCAGGTAGACATGCCATGGTAAGAAAAAGTGGATAAAAGGCAAGCCCACCTTGCTTACTTACTTAGTGTATCAAGTAGATTCTTTACAAAAATGACACAGCAGCTCTGTGTCTCTTGTTTAGTAATCTTTATAGTCATCCAGAACATAGAGGACAGTGCAACAAATTATTCCACAAACTCTTGTGATCTATAGCATATAAATTTAATTTTCAAGGTGTTTTTTTGTTTGTTTGTTTTTTAACTAAACAGTTTTCCTTTTTTTGGTGGTACTAGGGTTTGAACTCAGGGTGTCACACTTGCTAGGCAGGCTACTTACCACTTGAGCCACTCTGCCAGCCCCGTTTTTGTGTGTGTGTTGAGCATTTTCGAGATAGGGTCTCTTGAACTATTTGCTCAGGCTAGCCTCAAACTGCAACCCTTCTGATCTCTGCCTCCCAAATAGCTAGGATTACAGGTGTGAGCCACCAGCACTCGGCTTACTAAATAGGTCTTATTTGTTTTCCTTAGGAATAAAAAGCCAGGGCCTTATTTTTCTTACTTTGAATTTGGCTACAAGATTATGAGGAGACATGAGGACTCCTAGGACTGAGCATGGATAGTTTGGGGAATTAATTAAGCTAGATTAGAGGGACTTCATTTATTGTTTTTAAGTTCCATGCATAGTACCAAGCACTATTATATAGTATTTCCTTTAATCCTCATTCATTATAAACCTCCAACAGCTTCTTTTGCATAAATTAAAGACTTCAAGCTCATAAGGATTAAGTAACCTGTCCAAAGCCTTATGAGCCAATAACCATAATGACAGGGGAGCTAAATCAAGCAGATACTTCAGCCCAGTACCTTCATTTAAAAATTAGATATCCTAGGACTGCCTTATGATGATAAGGTTGGAGAAAGTCTTAGAAAGCCTTTGAAAATTCTTAAAGTCAAGCTTAAAGGAGTTTGGACTTCATCTGATTGGAGAATGACAATACTTTGAATGGTGTTTGTTTTTTGTGCTGCCTTTATTTTTTGGAGGGTTGGAGGTGCAGGAAGTATAGACAAAGGAGTACTAGTAGCGCAAGATAATACATCAATACTAACCAATGTATTTTTTTCTGCCTTTAGGTATGAAAAGCCTTGAACCTACTCCTGAACCTGGTAAGATAGCTTTCTATTTACTCTCTTAAGCATAAGGTGACAATGATTCCTTGGGCATTAAAGAGAATATTGTCATGAGAAAATTTTCATGAGTATTTCCCTTATAACTGTGTGATTTAGTTGTGAAAGTGTAGAGAAAGGGCCTTTGCTCCCTAGCATTCGTATGCTGCTGTAGTAGGAACATTTGCTCTGCTGGGGGCATGGGTAAGGGCCGGGATGCTGGAACCTGAATGCAGTAGTCAGCACCTTCCAGGTTCTACAGCTGAAGCTGCTCAATAGAAACTTTGGCTTCTTGCACAATTGACTGTTAGCTTTGGTTAACAGCTCATTATCTGAGACCTCCGGGTAACAAAACACAGTATTCTTCTGGCACAGACACACACAGTGCAGTGCTATGGTAGAAGAGTTCTCTAAGCTTGGTATATACTATACAATGAGGGTTTATGGAGTCAGAACTTTTCAATCAATAGCCAGAAGCTAGTTTCTGGGACCTGTGGGACTTGTATTTCCAGAGCTCATCACACGAGAGTTTGAAAATTATACTTACTGAAGCATCTTCAAGTCACTGAAAATTTCTTTTTAGGAATGAAAACTCCAGAACATCTTCCACTTCCTGGTGAGTAATGGCACACAGGCATGCCAGAGGGGAAGATGCCAATCTGAAGTGTATAGACATAACTGTCACCATTAGACATGCAGGGAAGCCTAAGTACTCTGTAAATGAAAGACCCATGGCTTTTAACTGACCAAGTATTTGTTCCTTAAGACTTGTAGTTCAAGTGTTCTTCCACTGTATTTGCCATGACAGATTTAACCTACCTTTTGTATATACAAATAAAAATGCTTTATTTTTTAAAGAGAGAGTTGTAGCTGAGAGCAAGGCCATTGAGGGACCTTGAGCTTTTGTGGCCAGAGAAAAGGAGCAGTGATTCCGGTCAGGTTCCTCAGAACTTTATGCTTACAATGGGTGGGGGAAAGTTCCCAAAATTAATTTTTTTCCTGAGACAAGAGAGTATTAAGAAAAGGGGTTGGGGCACAGATGATGTATTTTACCAGAGAACTCTAGACAACGATGACACTTCTGTGCCTCAGAGTTGTCATCTTTTAAATGTGGTAACACTTGTCACACTGTGGTTGCCGTAAAGGCAGGATTTGGGTTAAACAGCTGGGTAGACAGGCAGACCTGGCTTCAAATTTCTCCTCTGCCACTTTCCTCTGGGTAGCTTTGTATAAGTCACTTAACTTTAGTGTGCCCCTGCATCTACACCTGTTAAAATGAGGATGCTTTTGTCTTTGAGGACTAATGGGGGATCTACTGAAATAAAGTATCTGACAAAATGAATAGTAGTAAAAAGTAGCTGCCATTATTATTGACTGAAAATCTTTTTCTTATTTAGGAATAAAAGTGGTACAACCGGATAAAATGCTTGGTAACAAATCTTTTATTGGGGGTGGAGGCACCAAGGGGTTCTAAGTCCTTTAACATAATCATTTAGTTAGCGCAGGCTTAAGGGGTTTGGGGAAGACTGGACACCCAGTTTGCATGTTAGAAGTGGGGAAAAGTTGAGAACTCCTTTCAGCACGAACAACAAGCTGCTATTAAGGTTCTCTTGGGCCAAGCAGAGAACAAAGTGCTTGACCTTAAATTGGAACAGTTGCTGTCCAGCTGTGCTTGTCTATTCCAGAACGAGGCAGAGGTTTCCCAGGGTGAACTGGATCTGTGAGGGAATCTGGAGACACAGGAATATCATCATTAAAAATGATGAATGAAAAACTGCACAACATGCTAATATTGGGACCAGCTATTCTGTGCTCACAACACTTTCCCTTCCTCTAACAGACAGACCAGTTAGTTTTGCTAAGAATATGTTGTATTGTGCCCTTTCCTGGAAAGCTGTGTGTAGTGCAGGCTTTTTAAAGGCCATGTCAAAACAGTACACAGGATCTAATTTAATCAAGTAAGATTGTTCTTGCCATTTCAGAAATGAGGACCTGAAACATAGGAAGATTAATGAACCTTGAAAAGGGTTAGAAAGAGACCACCAAGACTCATATGTTTCAAGTTTTGTTCCCCTTCTGCCAAGATGACCCTTGTCTTTTAGCCAGATTTAGTTATACAGCTCTATTCTAGGCTACTAGAATTGGCATTTGGGTTTAAAGCTATGAAAATATGGTAAAATTAAGAGCAAAGGCTTTGAAGTCAGACATTGGTACCCATTCATTACCTGTGTGATAGGATGTTTTGAGGATCATCTGTAAAATACGGATTACTATACTTACCTAATAGGATTGTAAGATAAGAGTGTACATAAAGCATTTCCATAATGTATGACAGATAATAAATATTTAGTAACTGGAAGGTGTATTGATGTTGTACTTGGGAATCTGAGTTCAGTATGTAGAAAAATGACTTTTTTTAAAACAAAATACTAACCTCTGTTTAATAAAAGCACATATTCATGGGGAAAAAATTCAGAGTGCAAATAAGCAAAAAAACCAAACCTTTCTTGAACCCCACATAACCTGTAAATCTTTTACCCTGCCCCTCAAGCCCATTCTCAAAGAAAACCAAGTTCGCTTAATCTTTAATCAGATCTTTCTCTTCTGGATAAATAGATATATAACGCAATTAACTCAAAATCTCTTTACATTTTAGAAGACAGAAGTCAAGGAAATATCAACAATCCTAGTAAGAAATATCTCATTTCTTTATCAGTTGATAAATATGTTTCTGCAATGTAGAAAAAGTGAACAATTTATTTTTCCTTCATAAAAAGAACAAAGTTAAAATATGAGTTTAGAATCATAAGAATATACATATTCAAATGCTTATATGTATGTTTGTGGTGGAGGCAACTTGAATGTTTCTTAAATTTTCAACTGTGCTTAGAGTGTGCTATTTAGAACAGTTCTCATTCCTTTCAATTCTTTTTTAAATAGCAAATATTTTTATAAAGCCTTTATAGTATTCTGAAATAAAATCCAGAGTAAGATCTTACTCATAAAAGTCAGTCTAATGTCCTGGCTATAATTTATGACATATATTTTGATACATAAATGCTTATATTACACTGACTCATAGAAGTAGATAGAGGCTTATTTATGCAAATATATTTGGATTTGAGAAGACTGGAGGCTGTTCTATTTAAGTATAAGGAAATCAAAGTGAAAAACCACAACAGACACTAGATAAAAATTTGTTTAATGTTTTTTGAAAGTATCAGAAAATATTTTATGTGAAAAAGTGCCTTAGGTTCTGAGTTTGATCACCATAAATAGGTTTTTAACTTTTTGTCTAGCAGTACATTTGAAAGTTGCACAGGAAGTAGGTTCATTTTTCATTATGCAAGAACATCCTGAGTATTTCAAGATACCTAGCCCTCTATCTCCACCCCATTGTTGCAACAATTAAAAAAAAATTTGCTAGGCAGGCATGGTGGCGGCACATACCTGTTATTTAAGCTGCTTGGGAGGCTGAGGCAGGAGGGCAAGTTTGAGGCACAGCAAGATGCTGACTCAAAAATTAGAAAAAAGGTGCTGAGCACTGGTGATTTACGACTGTAATCCTAGCTACTCAGGAGACCGGAGCGCAGCTTGAAGCCAGCCCTGGGCAAATAGTTCTGCGAGACCTTATCTCAAAAAAAACCCATCACATAAAAGCGCTGATGGAGTGGCTCAAGGTGTAGGCCCTGAATTCAAACCCCAGTACCACACACACACACACACATCCCATCCCCCCCCCAAAAAAGTCGGGTATGTTGGCTTAGTGCCAGAGTGCTTGCCCAGCATGTGTAAGACCATGGATTCAATCTCCACTATCTCCGCCCCTCCCAAAAAATTCCCTTGACAGCTGTCCAAATTTGCCTGTGAAGAGGCTTTACTACCAACTTGAAAACCACTGGTCTATAGTAACTAATGCATGAGTGCATCTGCTCATCCATTTCCCTCTTTATATCTACAACTGCATGTATTAACTATAGCAAGTAAACTGACAAAGGTTTTTTTAAAGCCTTACCAGCTATTTTTCTTGGAAAAATATTTCAGGAAGTATGAATGGTTATCCTATTTGAATAAACATCCAGTCAGCCCTTCCCGTATAAATCAAGTATCTGAGTTTAGAGCAGTGTGAAACAGCTTATCCTATAAGATGGGTTCCGCTGCTCTTCTCTAGTTCAGACAAAAGAAAGAGAAGCACTTTTTCCCCCAGAGCCATGTTATGTGTGTAAGAAAAAACATTTGTCAGCTTGCAGAGCTTAGTGTTTAAAATGCAGATATACATCCAGTTGTATTACTGGTAGCTGTTTGAGTATGTACGTGAAGTATATTGTCTTTGTTTGAAATAGAAGAGATACAGTTAACATTGCATGTATAAATACAGAAAATGGAAATTCTAGAGAACTAGAACAAAAAGCAATTGTCTTGGCTATATATAGAGTTAAAAGCCTGTGAAATCCTAGATAAAACCTAGAGCAGCATGTCCTGATGATATATGTGGAAATTTAGCCCATCTGTAATTGACTATACTTATTTGAAACATTCCCAGTTGAAAGTATTTCAAGTAAGTTTCTAACTCAATTTCAGTGTTGTTTGTATGTTCAGAATGTATGGTAGGAGTGGATGATACTTGACACCAAAAATGATGTGTTAGTGACTGTGTGTTCTCATTAATAGCTGCAGGTCCAGTTCCTGTTCCAGGTCCCAAGACCCATCCTTCTGCATCCTCTGGCAAAATGCTCCTTCCACCATTTGATATATTCATCATTTTAATCAGTGCTTCTGCTGTAAATCTTTTTGTTGCTCCATAGTTTGATACACTCATTGTCTTATTCTTTACTTGGAATATACTACAGGGATCCCACCCACAGGAGGTCAAAAGGAATGATGTATTTTTCCCTTGTTGGCCAGTCACTTTATAAAATGAGAACTGTGTATTTATTTATTTATTTTGCAATTCAGAAAGTTGGTCCAGATATAATGTCACAAAATTAACTTTCATTTATTTCTGTATTAATCTTACAAATGAAAAAAAAAAAAACCCAAACTGTATATTTTGCTCAGATTCAATAAAAGACTTGGATTACTAAATTATTTCTATAGAATTGTCAGATAGTAAAATGTTCATTACTAACATCTAATATGTCAACGTAAACTTAATACCAGAATCGTAATTTTAGATTAAGAAACAAACTTTGCTTTCAAATAATAGCATCACTTTTCCTTCAGTCTCTTCATTATGCCTCAGTATATGAACAATTACATTTTTATAAACCCAACAGTTTACAAAATGTTTCATATAATCTCATGTTAACTCAGGAAGGTAGACAGGGAACTAGATAAGGAAAAATGAAGTTCTACAACCTAGTACCCTTTTCCCCTAGGTACTGTGGTAATTGAGTAGTGACTGTTTTAGGCATAGGCTTTGGGAACAGACTTATTTATACTTTGCCAGTATCTCAAAATGGAATTAAGGCCTCTTGCTACAGAAAATCTAAACTGCATGTTAAGGATTCAGCGTGAGGGCTAGCGGAATGACTTAAGTAATGAAGTGCAGGCCTAGCAAGTGTGAGGCCCTGAGTTCAAACCCTAGTACCACAAATTAAAAAAAAAAAAAAAATTCAGTGTGCTTTCATTCTACCAGTTACCTCTCTTACTCAAAAATTTGAGGGAAATCTGTCTTCAAGAGCTACTAGCCAGTTGAGTACTATACACAGTATTTCAGGTAAATTGACAACGGAACACAAATTAGTTACTTACTAAGCAAAAGTGGGTCTTTCTTCCACCTACCCAAATCTAGAAATTGATATAAAGTTTTAGACTGCTGTAATAACAGAATAGCACAGAGTAGGTGGCTTATAAACAGCAATCGTGTCACAGTTCTGGAGACTGAAAAGTTCAAAATCAAAATGCTGGCAGATTCAATTTCTGATGAAGGAAGGCCCTCTTCTTGGCTTGCAAAGGAAGCTGTCTTTTCACTGTGTCTTCAGTGAAAAGGGGTGATTGATAGAAGTAGGATACTAATCCCACTCACCAAAGGCTCCACGCTCATAACCTGATCACCTTCCCAAAGCACCACAGCCTCTAAGTAGTATCACATTGGGTGTTAGGGTTTCTTCAGTTTGAACCACCCCAGTTCATCAGTTGCTCAGAAGACACCTATAATTCTGTAAAAGTCCAGCTGTCCAACCAGCTATATAAACAAGGAACACAGGTTTTGCCTTACTCGTTCATGTATGTCATCACCAGTGAGATAAGATACCAACAACGACTGACCCTGTCTTTTAAAGGCAGATCTCAAGTCCTGTCTAGTATTTACCTTGTCGAACTAAGAACCTTAGCAATATCAGAATATGAAAAATGAAAGGTTAATCGTGCATACCATGCTTACTAGTGATCCACCCACTAGATTATGTGGCTGAGTACCAATTCTCATCACTTAGGTCAACAGTTCTTCCTACTGAAAAGGGGCATGCAGGAAAGAAACTTTCCTTCCATACCTGGCCATGTAGATGAGAACAACAATGTGCCTATCTTCTGAGGAGAAAATGAGCACAAAAAAAAGAAATTCCTCTCCAACACTGCTGGAATTGCAACAATGGGTAGGAAAGTATGATAAAAGAAGGGTGGTGTATAGAGTAGTATGACAACTCACATGGCAAAAACTTGGCAAAGTGGCTGTAAAATTCTAGCAGCTAACCTGGAAAGAATGATTGATTTTAAAATTCTTAGTCTTCTACACAATTGCAGCCTAGTCTGCAACAACTGAGGAGACATTCCTTCAGTGAGCCCTCAAAGGATGACTGAATACAAGGGCATCACATCCTGCACCATCCCCATAGTAAACACAACAGCAAGAATCATGGGGCTATTTCTTGTAACACCTCTCAGTATCAGCCAGAGCACCACACAGAAGTGCAGTTACAGCATTTCAAGAAGTGCCTACAAATTGCAGCTCAGGTATACAGTCTGTTTACATAAGGCCATAAATGGCCTTTCCCACAAAACCAAATAAAGCACCAGACAGAGTTATATAAAAGTAATTGCAAATTAAGAATTTATTTTAAAGTCTTCATCTTTTCTAGAAACAAGGTTTAAAAAACAAAAAAAATTGCAAAAATGGTAATTTTGTTATATCCTAATTATGTGTTCTGTAAATTCCAAATTAGTAAAATAATATAAAAATATATTTTCAAATCTTTATAGAACAAAAAGAAAACCTCATTAATCATTAAATACTTTTGGATTTTTTTGCTCCTACAGATGAATTCACAAATATAAAAACTGATGTACATATACACTTTGAACTACAAATCTCCAACAGCCAAGTAATTACACAGTTTTGTTACATATAAAGTTAATATACTTCATATTTACTTGCTATGGAAAGCAGAATGAAAAATAATCATTGAACACTGTGATTATGTTTAATGCTGTTACAAAAATGTACAATAGTACATATACTTTTGCTAATTACGTATTTCTCTTTTAAAAGTTAATACAACTTTTACATGTAACTCTTTGAAGAACTGTGAGGTGACCAATTCAGATTTGGTGAACAGCAATTTGTCAGTAACCTCAAAAATCCCAGCCAGGAGAAGAGCCTTTCTTTTTTCTCCATGTGGTCATCTTAAGAAAGGCCTGATACAGTAGGAGAAGACATTTTACAAACCTCTAATACAAGTTTATGAACTGTCAACTAAAGACACCGCCTCTGATGTGGATGGTTTCATTCAATCCGTGTTCTACCAACTTTATATCTTCTAGATCATCTTTTATGATACTTATCAAGTGGCTAAGGCCTTCCTGTTGTTGTTTCAAATGCTGGAATGAATTATAGAAAATAAAACATATTAATGCACTACTCTCAAACTGTAGGCTACTCAGATTTTTTTTACCAGCAGTACAGACGTAGTAACTAAATGTAACAAGCAACACATGTAAACATCCATAGTACATCTTTTGTCAGTAACTTTAGCTGTGTAAGCCATATTCTAAGGAACAATAAAATCAAACAATTATATATAAACAATATCTTAAAAATGTTTTTTAGATTAACTATCCCTTTTACCTATGACCAAAAACAGTATGATATTAAAACAGAATTCAAAGAAGGTACTCAAATACAGATCACTAGCAAACTAAACATTTTGAAACCAGAATTTTCATGTTTTGAAATATAGTGATGATAATGAGGACTACAGATGCTAACATTTTTGGCATTCTTCACATGTGCTCTAAGGTACTGTTCTTAATAGCTTTAATGGTAATTAGGTGAAGCTTGGGTGGTTGGAAGTTCTGGTCTATCTTGAACCAGGGCTGAAGGGATCAATAACTCAACCTATTTATAACTTATATGCAGCATACAAAGTGGGAAGGTATGAACCTAGAGCAGCTGCTTTCCAATTTAACATTCATACAGATCACTCTTATCTTGGTAAACTTTGGAGTAAGGTCTGAGATTTTGTACTTCTAATGACCTGCAGTGCTACTGCCCCCTACACTTTATGAGCAGCAAGGTCTAGGTAACTTTGGTGTCTCTACTGCTTCTAAATTCATCCTTGGAGTATGAGGAGAGGTGGGGGGGATGATTCACTTTTTAAAAATTGTGGCAAAGTAGGCATAATACAAAATTTACCACTTGGACCATTTTTAAGTGTACAGTTCAGGGGTATTAAGTACATTCACACTGTTGGGCAGCAATCATAAGTGACAGAGTTTCCTTTTATGACTATCTTACTTCACTTGGCATAACATCTTTCAGATTTGTTCATGTTGTAGTGTATGTTAGACTTTCCTCCTTTTAAGGAGGGAATAATGTTCTATTGTGTGTGCATTTACACAGGTGTACAAATACCTAATTCAAATCCTTGTTTTCAAATTCCATGGGTATACATCTAGAGTTGGCACTGTCAGATCATACGGTAATTCTGTTTTTAGTATTTTGAGGAACCACCACACGGTTTCCCATGGAGACTGTACCATTTTACATTCTTAAACAATGTATGACAATTGTGTTTTTGCCACATTTTCACAAACACTTGTTTTCTGTTTTTTAGATAACAGCTATGCTAACAGACTTGAAGGGGTAGGCCGACACTTGTAAAAAGTACCTCTCCTATGACATTTACCTGCTTGATTTCTCGTAACAGATCCGCATCTACATAATATCTTTCTTCAGATTTAACTGCTCCAAAATGATTCTGCATCCTGATCTGGGACATCAGTTCATTTAATCGGCCCTAAAAATGAGTCAGAAATCAACTACTAATAACAGCAACCACTTTTAAAAGAGAATGGTTTCTTTTGAAAGCATGGTTTCAAAACCAATTAAACATTTCCAACTTCTCCTCTGTACATTATTTGAAACATCAGTGCAAGCCAAAGAATCATGACAGTTTACTTTCAAAAGGAAGTCTTAATTAAAGAGAACAAATGCTTAATAAACACAGCTATAGAAAAATTATATTTTAAGACTACTTGACACTTTCCTGAAAATCCACCTGTAATAAACTTTAGTTTTATGGTCTTAGAAGTGCTTGCCTTGAACTGAGTGGGTGCATTGAGTTCACACTGAATTGTATCTAGCTGAACCCGCAGCTGCTCTTCATCAGCCTGGATGGCATAACCACTCTTCCTTTGAATTTCCTGTTTGATCAGGACCTATACAAAGAAAAGCCACCAGTACTTCTCAGTTATGCAAGTAATTTTATTACAATTAATTCTTGACAAAAATTAACTGAAAACTACACTAGCAATAGAGTGGAGTGCAACAGTTTAAGCAAGACCTGAATTATGTTTCTGTCCCTATCAATTAGGCACAAATACCACACATTGGTTTACGCTTAGCAATTGGAGTGGCAGTGTTAGGGATAATTATTTTAAAACAATGTTTTTTATGGCTTTAAAAAAAGCAACATGAACAATAAGTAATTTAAAACCAGTTTTAGACATTTACAGTCTTTCAGAATCAAGTGCATTTATGTAAAAACATAAGCCTATAATATTTAAGGTTTTTTTG